GTGCAGTGGCCAGATCTCAGCTCACTGCAAGCTCCGCCTCCCGGGTTTACGCCATTCTCCTGCCTCAGCCTTCTGAGTGGCTGGGACTACAGGCGCCCGCCACCATGCCCGGCTGATTTTTTGTACTTTTTAGTAGAGACGGGGTTTCACCATGTTAGCCAGGATGGTCTCAATCTCACGACCTCATGATCCGCCCGTCTCGGCCTCCCAAAGTGCAGGGATTACAGGCTTGAGCCACCGCGCCCGGCCGCCATCCTCCTTTTCTAATATGTTTATTTAAGGCTGTCATTTTCCTCTAAATATTGCTTTGGCTGCATCTCAGTTTTTGATATGTAGTTATTTCCATCATTGTTCTCTTATTTAACAAATACTAAGTGCCTCCTATGTACCAGATAGTGGGCTAGATGCTAAGAGTTCAGAGTAAGCAAAACAGTACTAGCACTTAATGAGCTCATAATCTAGTTGCAGAAATAGATATGTCAACAGATTATTATGTAACCATATAAAAAGTGTTATGTGTGAGGTATGTAAATACAAGGGGCTGTCACAGAATAAACTCTGCCTGCTGGAGTATAGAAAGGCTCCATGGGGTAGATGGGATGATATTTCATCCATCCATCCATCCATCTGTATGGTCATTTAACAAGCATTTGTTTTGCATCTATTTTATGTAAAGTCTTGTGCTAGGTGCTGGAACTATGGCTACGTCTTGAAGGATGTGAAAAAGATAGGATAATGGAACAAGGTGGGGGTGGGATTTTAAAGAAGAAGTATCAACCTATGCAAAGGCACAGACATACAGGGGCATGGAAATGCATGATGAAGCTGGCCTGATAGGGAGTAGCTAGTTCGCTGGCACTGTGTGTGGTGTGGAAAGGTGTTTAGATTTTTGGGTTTTGGGTTGGAAATGAGAAGCCATGGAACCTAAAGCAAAGAAAATAAACAGGTTTTTTATTTGATATGTATTCTGGCAGTAGAATAAGGGTGAGGCAGAGACCAGTTAAGAGGCTTTTGGACTAGGTTCAAAGCAAGGACAGTAAATGTGGAGAGATTGATATAGATCCAAGAGATACCTAGGAGTTGGAATCAGTAGAACGTAAGGATCCTGGGGAGTTAAAAAAAAAAAAAAAAACAGGCATAAATGATCACTTCCAAGTTTCTGGCTTGTGTGACTGGATGAATGGACGGTGGTGCCATTGACTAGGGTAACGAATACCGAAAGGGCTACAGGCTTTGGCAGAGAAGTTACAAGTTTCGTTTTAGATCAGGCTGAGCTTGCCAAAGAAAGTGCTATCCAAGAGCATCTGGTCTAAGGAAGCAGGAATAAACAAAGGAGCATTTCTGGAACTGGAGAGAGGATCATTGCCACCGCTAGCCAATATGGTACCTTTGTACAAGTTATAAAAAAAAGTACTTCTCGGCCGGGCACAATGGCTCACGCCTGTAATCCCAGCACTTTGGGAGGCCGAGGCGGGCAGATCACGGGGTCAGGAGATCGAGACCATCCTGGATAACACGGTGAAACCCCGTCTCTACTAAAAATACAAAAAATTACCCGGGCATGGTGGCGGTGCCTGTAGTCCCAGCTACACAGGAGGCTGAGGAAGGAGAATGGCGTGAACCTGGGAGGTGGAGCTTGCAGTGAGCCGAGATCTGGCCACTGCACTCCAGCCTGGGCGATAGAGTGAGATTCCGTCTCAAAAAAAAAAAAAAAAGAAAAAAGAAAAAAAAGAAAAGTACTTCTCCTGGGCAGACCAGTTAGAAAAGGGCAACCTTTCTTCACAATAGAGTCAGCCACTTGGCTTGGTAGAAAGTCCCGGCTGGATTTCAGCCCCGTTCACTCCCTTGGCTGGGCACCTATATACAGTGCACAGATTGTACAACTATACACAGGAGCCTTGGGACTTACTTGGGTTTGGGGATGTGCCTAAGGGCTCAGCCCATTGTTTACCAATAGAAAAAGGAGGCAGGAAACTGAATTTGGCTGGGGGCTTGGTCAGGGAAGGAATCTAGTAATTGCTGAAGGATTTGGTGGTCAGGCCTCTTTCCAGTGGATTACATTGAATGTCTGTCCTCACCTGTGAAAGGGGTTACTATGAGCCCTCTCTATCATCTCAGGGCATTATGAGGATTCAAGGAGACCATGTATATGAAGTGTTTCAGGCATCTCTGTACCCCCAATGTCTAGTACCAGACATGGCACACAGGTTTAACCACTAAATGGTAAAAGGAATGGCTAAGGTCAAATGAAGAGGTGCATAATGGTAAACTGAAGAATGTATGCTTGGTAAGTGTTGTGACTAGTGAGTGAATATGAAGGTAGTACAGACCCAGGGAGGGACATCTTCAGGGGACCAGTGGTAAGAGATAATGGCAGATAGAGGATGCTGTCAGAGGTGTCTGCTGTGGCATGGGGGTCTCAGAGCTTGGCCTCTGGAGTATGGGTAAAGGGAAGCAAACTGAGAATTGAAGCACCAAAGAGCAGCAGAGGTGCCCGAGACATGAAATCTGGCAGGTAGTCAGCCCCTTAACTGATGTTATGGTTTGGGAAGAGTGAGGCAAAAAGAAGAAAGTCATCCAGGGAGGAAGAAATGACTGTTGGGAGGGGTTCTGTCATAGTAGAAGAAATTTGGGAAAAGTGAAGACGTCTTGTCGTATGCATGGTGATGTGGAATCCCAGTGGCAAGAAACAGCAGGATGATGGCATCCTGAAGTCTACTCTCTCTTCTCTTTTCCCTACTCAGTAAGAATGGATGAAGACTGAGTGGAGAGCTGGAGGGTTTCTTGAGGGAATATAGTAGGTGATATGTTCTAAGGGACAATCCAGGTTTTACTCAGGACAAAGGATAGCCAGAAGAGATGAGCTGCAGATTGGTGTCCACATAGGTCCCTGAGAGTTTGGTAGCTTGCTTGATCCGTTGATGAACAAAATACCTTCTGTGGCCCAACTGGATCAGGCAGTTGAGATCTCAAGGTTTGGTACAGTGACTGAGGAATTTAGGCAGCTGCAAGACAGGTGCTTCTAGGCCAAGTGCGGTGGTTCACACCTGTAATCCCAACACTTTGGGAGGCCAAGGCAGGTGGATCACCTGAGGTCAGGAGTTTGAGACCAGCCTGTGCAACGTGGTGAAACCCAGTCTCTACTAAAGATTTTTAAAATAGCCGCACGTAGTGGTGGGCACCTATAATCCCTACTCGGAGGCTGAGGTAGGAGAATTGCTTGAACCTGGGAGGCAGAAGCTGCAGTGAGCTGAGATTGCACCACTGCACTCCAGCCTGGGCAACAGAGTGAGACTGTGTCTCAAAACAAAACAAACAAACAAAAAAACAAAAACAGGTGCCTCTAGTCACTTAGGTCCCAACTAAAGCAAAAAGGGAAAAAAAACATCTTCCTGAGAAACAGACCACTCCAAGCCTGAATTATCCAGGGCAGTAGCCGAGAAAAGCAAAGCTACAATCCAGTCCTACAGACTTAGTGAAGACCCAGGAAGCACTGGTAACAGAAATACAGCGTTCTGTATTTCATAAGGATCTTTTATACATAGATCTGACTTAATCATCATAGTGATCCTGTATGGTGGATATCTGCATTTCACAGATGACAAAATAGAAGTGTAGAAGTTTCTAGAAGAAGCTGGAGCCATTTACCTAAGGGATATGAATTGATTCTTGTGAGTTGTTACCTCTTTAGTTGTCTGTAGCCTTCAGCTGGAGACAGTTCATGCTGATCTGGTCAACCTACATGTGACTGGCTATTCTAGCCTTTAAAGGGTGTTTGTCCTCTGTTAGAGGCTAGGACTCCACCTCAGGTTAGATTGAAGGTGCTGCAGGGGGGTTCATCTCCCTCCCCAGGACCCTGAGACTTGGAGGCATGGACAGGACCTGGGCTTAGGCCCTGACCGTAGTGTATGTGTGTGAGTATATGTGTGTGCACATAGGCTGTGTGTCTGGGAGGGCTGTGGAGTTCAGTGTATCCACTCTGGGGGGCGCCCACCAAGCACACATATGCACATTTGTGTAAGTCTCTGTAAGTGTTCAGGGGAAGAAGAATAAAAAAAGTGGGTTTTTTTTTTTTTTTTTTGAGACGGGGGCTCCCTCTGTCACCCAGAGTGGAGTGCAGCCGCATGTTCTCAGCTCACTGCAGCCTCCACCTCCCGGGTTCAAGCAATTCTGCCTCAACCTCCAAAGTGGTTGGGACTACAGGTGTATGCCACCACGCCTGGATAATTTTTGGTTTTTTGTTTGTTTTTTGAGACGGAGTCTCACCCTGTCGCCCAGGCAGGAGTGCAGTGGTGCGATCTCGGCTCACTGCAATTTCTGCCTCCCAGGTTCAAGCAATTCTCCTGCCTCAGCCTCCCGAGTAGGTGGGATTACAGGCATGTACCACCACGCCCAACTAATTTTTGTATTTTTAGTGGAGACGGGGTTTCACCATGTTGTCCAGGCTGGTCTCAAACTCCTGACCTCAAAGTGATTCACCTGCCTCAGCCTCCCAAAGTGCTGGGATTACAGCCGTGAGCCACCATGCCCAACCATGTTTCTTATTTCTCCCAACTGTTCCACTTCTTCCTATTTTCTTATTTTCCCTCTCATTTCTTTTTTTCCTCTCCTTTCCTTGTGAGTTTAGATGGCATTATGACTAAGTTCTCTGGCACACGACTTGTCACTCAGCTTTGTCATGTCAGAGGACAGGGTCCCTCTGTGGCCGAGACTTTGAAACTTCAGTCAGTTGCTGAATGATCCAGAGTAGTTCTGCTGACAGTGGCCTGAGGGGGTAGGGGGGAAGTGACGGGCAGAATTTGGTTTAGCCTCACTTGAGACCAAGCCTTCCCCCAGCCCCCTGTGTCTGGCACCATCATGGTGGGTGGGACCAGAGGGTACATGTAAATGCAGACAAAGGTTTGTTTTGGGGATGAAGGTAGAGCTTCGTCAGGGGAAGCTGAAGAAGGTCATACATCAGGAGCAGCCCAGGAGTTAGCCTGTCTGTCCCCTTTCCACAGCAACAGGTGAGAAGAAGGAAGGCTGGTCGTGGGAATCCTACCTAGAGGAGCAGAAGGCCATTACTGCCCCAGTCAGCCTCTTCCAGGACGTGAGTTGGACAATTTCCCCCTAGGAAGAGCTTGTCTTCCCAGTCCAGGGACACACCACCAAACTTAGGCCTTCTGGCGTTTTCTGTGTCAGGCATGCCTCAGTGGACTGGCAGAATGGAAAGGGAGAGACTGTTTAGGGGCCCAGAGTGGAAAAGGGCCCGCCATAAGGGGCTGGCAGGGTGGGAAGAAATAGAGAGGTGGAAGCTAGGCTCACCCGTCACTGGGCCTGCAGACTTTTGAGTTCTGGTGACTTCTACTCGATTCAGCAGTGATCTTTCCATGACTTTGGTGAGAGGGAGCCCTTGGTGAGTCCCGCCCTGACTCACCCACATTTTTCAAGGGACCTGGGAGATATTCTCTCTCTCTCTAGATCCCTGAAGTAACGATCCCCAAATAAGTTGCCCCTTTGAAAATACCAGGCGGGTGGGGCCTAAAGGCAGCTCCTTCACCCCAAGCCCACTAGGCAAGGATAAGGCTGGATGGAAGCTGGGTCCTCTCCACTCTGTGCGTTGACAGTCCCAGGCAGTCACTCACAACAAGAATGGCTTCAAACTGGGCATGAAGTTGGAAGGCATTGACCCTCAACACCCGTCCATGTACTTCATCCTCACTGTGGCTGAGGTGAGCTGGGGCTTGGTACCACCTTTCTGATGATGTCTCTCAGTGTAGATTGATGGATCTTGCTGGGGACATAGAAGGAAACACCTCCCTCCCCTCAGAGCACACACAATCTAGTAGGGGATTAAGTTGGAATACACAGAAAGCTTAAAAGAAAAAAACCACATGGAGTGTCATGGGTCAGTCCTATTACTGGATGAACGTATACTGTCCACTCTGGGAAAGCTTGAGGAGATCCCGAGGGCCAGGGATGTTGGCGTGAGTCAAACAAGGTCTTTGTCCTCTAGGAGCTCACAGTTGTCTGGGGAATCAGCCAAATAAACATATCAGTGACATGCCATGGGGGTGGCAGCAGACTTGAGCTGGGAGGCACAGCTGGATCAGATCTGTCTGAGGAGCAGGAAAAGCATAGAGGAAGGGCCTTCTTTGCAGAGTCTTGAGAGAGAAGTTGTGAATAAGGAGGGAGCTCCAGGCAGAAGGAGCAAAGTGGGCAAAAGCCCTGGGGCATGGAACAGACTGCTACCCTCAAGGAATTGCTATTAGCTCAGCAAGACTGGAAGCAGAGTGTGAGTGGGGAGCAGTGAGAGAAGGTAGCAGAGGGAACAGTCATCAGGAGCCCTCAGCAGTCCTGAGCCTTGGTGGCTGCCCTCAGAATTCTGTCCAGGGCTCAAGAGGGCAGGAGACTCTCATAGGGTCCACCTCCCTTGTATCCAGAACTCAGGGCTCATGAGTACACAAATTGTCCTCACTGCAGAATAGGACAGGATGGGGTACACCTGGGAGGAAAGAAAGGTGGGGTTGCGGAACCTGCTAGCATTAGAGCTTCTGAGACCACCAGACTGGGCCAGGAGAGGTGAGGGAGATGGGGAGTGGGGCATCTCCTGACATTGGAGTCCCTGATTCCCCTCATGGGGCCAGGTATGTGGCTATCGCCTACGCCTGCACTTTGATGGGTATTCTGAGTGCCATGACTTCTGGGTCAATGCCAACTCCCCTGACATTCACCCTGCTGGCTGGTTTGAGAAGACGGGGCACAAGCTGCAGCCTCCCAAAGGTAAGGCCTAGCTGGGTTGGTCACAGTGAGGCAGTGAGTCCTCAGACCCTTTGCTTCTTCCCCTTGGGTCCCCTGGCTTCCAACTCGTTTGTTTTCTGACCCTGTAAGCTGTTCCAAACTCAGCCTCTCTTCATCGCATCCTGATGACTCTACCCTGGGACCAAGTTGACCAGGAGCCCTAGGACTTCCGCTTTGTACTTGCCATTTGAGTGTCCGCTCAAGTCGTGTCCTGCTTCAGTAGAGGGGGATCCCTGGGCAAGTTCTTGAGGGCTGGGGGAGGGTGGTCCTCAGGCATGCCTGATTCTGCTGCTTCACTGTGGGGTGCCCTCGCCGTGGCCCAGACTCTGCACGGCGCTCTGTTCATCCCCCTCGAGGGGCCTAGGTTACAAGGAGGAGGAGTTCAGCTGGAGCCAGTACCTGCGCAGCACAAGAGCTCAGGCTGCCCCGAAGCACCTGTTTGTGAGCCAGAGCCACGTGAGTGCCCCTGAGTGAGAGTGGATGTCACCCCCAAGTCCCAGAGTCACTGCAGCTGGCCCAGGGTATCTGACTCATCAGAAGGAAGTTAATCTACTGGTTCTTTCAGCTTTGTTCTGATCTCTCATATCAGATGGGGAGGGGCACAGCTGGGCAGGGTCCAGGGCCAGGGATGGGAAGCTGGTTATAGGTTTTTCCCGACTTCCTTCCCTCCTTTGCTACTGCAGATATCCTGTCCTCACATCCCCTTGGAGCCCCTGACCCACTACCCTAGTCTGAGCACTGAGATATCATTGCTCATGTATTCTTGCTTTGGTTTGCTTTGCAGTTCTTTGGTGTAAGGTCAATGCCTCTATTCTGGGAGCTTCTTTTTTCTTCCTTTTGCCCAACATCGAGATTCCTCCATTTATTTCCAACAATTCATCCCTTGTCCTTTCCTCTGTTCAAGGCAGCTGGCAGCTTATCCAGCAGTTAAAGTATCTCACATAATCCCAACCAAAAGGCCTAGAATATATAGGGAGCCCCCATTAAAAATATTATACTGGGTCGGGCACGGTGGCTCATGCCCGTAATCCCAGCACTTTGGGAGACTGAGGCAGGTGGATCACCTGAGGTCAGGAGTTCAACACCAGCCTGGCCAACATGGTGAAACCCCGTCTCTACTAAAAATAGAAAAAATGAGCTGGGCATGGTGTTGGGCATCTGTAATCCCAGCTACTCAGGAGGCTGAGGCAGGAGAATCGCTTGAACCTGGGAGGCAGAAGTTGCAGTGAGCCAAGATCGCGCCATTGCTCTCCGGTCTCAGCAACAAGTACGAAACTCCATCTCAAAAAAGAAAAGTGTATGTTGGCCGGGCGCGGTGGCTCAAGCCTGTAATCCCAGCACTTTGGGAGGCCGAGACGGGCGGATCACGAGGTCAGGAGATCGAGACCGTCCTGGTGAACACAGTGAAACCCCGTCTCTACTAAAAAATACAAAAAACTAGCCGGGCGAGGTGGCGGGCGCCTGTGGTCCCAGCTACTCGGGAGGCTGAGGCAGGAGAACGGCGTGAACCCAGGAGGCGGAGCTTGCAGTGAGCCGAGATCGCGCCACTGCACTCCCAGCCTGGGCAATAGAGCAAAACTTTAAAAAAAAAAAAAAAAAAAAAAAAAGAAAAGTGTATGTTTGTGTATATATATATATATATATATATATCATACTGGCTGGGTGCGGTGGCTCACACCTGTAATTCCAGTACTTTGGGAGGCTGAGGCGGGAGGATCACTTGAGCCTAGGAGTTTGAGACCAGCGCAGGCAACATAGTGAGACCCTATCTATATAAAAAATGTCATTAAATTAGCTGGGCATGGTGGCACGTGCCTGTAGTCCTAGCTACTACAGTAGCTAGCTGAGGTGGGAGGATTGTTTGAGCCCAGGAATTCAAGGCTACAGCAAGCTGTGATTGTACCACTGCACCCCAGCCTGGGCAACAGAGTGAGACCCTGTGTCTAAAAAAAAAACAACCATATTGCATGTCTAGAGTCCCCATGGGCCCGGGCCTCCACCATGCTCTTCAGGCAGAGACAGTTACTCCCCCACCCCAGTCCAGCCCCAGAGTTCATACTTGCAAGTTCCCAGGTGACAGGTGGGGTCCCATCTGCTGTTGTGACAACAAATGCCGACTTCTAATCCAAACTTTTTAAATAGTGGCCCCACCATTGACTAGCATTGTGTTCTGGGCCAAGTGATTTAACTTCTCAAATGGGAATAGGGTTGTTGTAAAGGTCCAGGGAGGTGATGTCTTTTGAAGCTTACATGGCAGGTACTCAGTTTATACTGGTTCCCCGCCTGCCTCTGTGCCATAGATGTCCACTGTTTCTTCCCTGTCACCCCACTATTGCCACAATTGCCTCAGGACAGGCTGGGAGGGATTGTCTGGGTAGGGAAGATTTATACTTGATTCGCCAGGTTCTTTGGGCGAATGCATAGCCTCCTTCCAGGCACTTACCTTCTGGCACAAGCCAGGCCTCTGAGTGCACCTTGGAGACCAGAGGTTCCTGAGTGCCTCAGGGCTCAGGTTATAATTCTGCCCTGGAGGGCCCTCTTTCCCAGCTTATTTCTCCTTCCTTTCTCACTGCCCACACCCCAGGCTTTCCTAGAGAACCTATTCCTTTGTTTGCCAATGGGCTCGGGGCTGGTGCTAGCCAGCTTGGCCCTGGCCATGGCAGCCCCTCTTTTTCCCCTAGAGTCCCCCACCCCTGGGCTTCCAGGTGGGCATGAAGCTGGAGGCTGTTGACCGCATGAACCCCTCCCTTGTCTGCGTGGCCAGTGTGACCGATGTGGTGGACAGCCGCTTCCTGGTGCACTTCGACAACTGGGATGATACTTATGACTACTGGTAGTGGGAGGGCCCAGACGTGGTCTCAGGGGGCGAGGGGATGGCAGGGGGCAACTGCTTTCATATCTCAGGTACCATGTAGCCCCACTCAGTCCAGTTCTGACATTCAGATCTTCCTCAGGTTGGAAGATAATTGAATTGAGTTTTATCATAAGAAATATAGCTCAATATTAAATGTTTCATCTAAAAATACCATGGTTAAGATGAGCAAACCCCTATGATTCATGATTTTCCCTTAGATATCATGGTGATGGTAGAGTTTGTCATTCATGTTGCAATTTTCTAACTTTGTCATTGCCATCTGTCTCCCTCTCACTAAGAAGTAGATGAGGGTGGGTCCTGAGCCATGCTGTCAGAGGGTGGCAGGCTCAGGGCCTCAAGTTGCTCTTGGGACAGTGACGTGTTCTTGGATTTCAGGTGTGATCCCAGCAGCCCCTACATCCACCCAGTGGGCTGGTGCCAGAAGCAAGGAAAGCCCCTCACCCCTCCACAAGGTGACCCTGCAGCCTGAGCACGTCCCCTTTCCTAAGCCTGGCTCTGCTTCCCTCCACTGACCGCCTACCAGTAGTGCCTCGGTAGCTGGCTCTCTAGGGTCAGGGTGAGAGAACAGACGTGTCCTGAAGCCTCAGCTTCTTGGCCTGGGAGTTGAGAACCCTTTGATTTTAGGAGACTCCTGTCAAACCCTGACTCCACTGGGGTTTAGGGGAAGAAAGTTACATGACCATCTCAGCAAGGAAGCGGGGAATCAGAAGTAAAATGAGTCCTTCCTCCTGGAAGTATTGCATTGGCCCAAATACAATAGAGATTCAGATGGGTCTGGGGTGGGAGCAACAGACCAAGAGTGACAGGAGTCAGGGTTCCCAGACAGCCCTGTAAACTATTAGGGTGGTGCTGTGCTTGGTTCTACTAGCACCCATCTGCCTGAGGAGCCCAGTGCAAGGAGCTGGCTGGGTGATGGTGGGGGAGATTCTACTCCAAGGGCCTTTGTCCCTTCCATGTTCCTGGTCGTGCTTGGGGGCAGAGGGCTTCCCCAGTACACCTGGGTGGCTAGACATTGCTCTCATCCTCTCCTCCAGACTACCCAGACCCTGATAACTTCTGTTGGGAGAAATATCTGGAAGAAACTGGGGCCTCTGCTGTCCCCGCTTGGGCCTTCAAGGTGGTGAGTCAGTGCTCCCTGCCCCCAGAGCTGAGCTCAGAAAGACATGGAGCACTCAGCTAGCCAGGCTGGGGCCCTAGTTTTCTCCTTTGGGCAAACCCCAGTTTCCCCAGGCACAGCATTTGGGCTCCCTCTGTGGGGCCTCAGCTCTGCTGAGCTGGGCCTTGGCCTGAAGGAAGCTGTCCCATCTGCAGCGACCCCCTCACAGCTTCCTGGTCAACATGAAGCTGGAGGCTGTGGACCGCAGGAACCCAGCCCTGATTCGCGTGGCCAGCGTGGAGGATGTGGAGGACCATCGGATAAAGGTGGCTCTGGGACCCTAGGGCTGGGAAGTGGACAGGCCAGTTGGGCAGGAATTCTGTAGACTGCTTAGAGGTCAAGGGCATCACGGCATGAGAGAGATGAAACCAGAGATCTTGAATCTCATTCTTGCCTCATCTGTGACTTATTTTTGTGGGCTTGGACAAGTCATTTTCCCTCTCTAAGCCTTACATCATCTGTAAAATGGGCCTAATAATCCTCGTCCCACCCGAGGACTGCCAGTGGGAGATGCCAGTAACTTGATGAGTGATGCCCTTGGAAAATGTGGTGGCCAAGACTGATTATTGCAGGGTTGGCCCCTTGATTCTTCCAATCCAGGATCTAGCTTCTGACGGGTCCCAGGGATGGGGAGAGGACCTCCTGGCTGAGCTGGGCTCCATGAGAAACACCTGACTTCCAAGAGCCTTTCCTCCCCAGATCCACTTTGATGGCTGGAGTCATGGCTATGATTTCTGGATCGACGCTGACCACCCAGACATCCACCCTGCCGGCTGGTGCTCCAAGACAGGACATCCCCTGCAGCCTCCTCTCCGTGTGTACCCCTAGGGCACTCTGATCTTTTCCTTACCCCCAGGTTCCGACAGTCCTGTAGTTTGCCTACAGAGCTCTGACAACCCATGCCCAAATATGACACAGAGGGCTCTGACGCCTACCATGAGTTTCGGAATCCCCCATCCACCCCACCCCCGGACTATATGCTACACTAAGCAGCGCTTCTGGCTACCCCAGTTGTCGGGGTTTGGGGTGTTGAGGTGCAAAGGGGCGAGCTCACTTGGTAGCATGTGCTTCAGAGGTGGTCAGGCACTCAGGGATTTCTCTCAGCATCTAGCAGAGCCACACTGAGCATGCACTGTGTTTGCTAAGGACATGCTGGCTTCCTAAAGTAAATTCTCATTGTCTGTGTGGCAGGGATTAGAGTTCAGGTCACTGGGCTGCTCAGCCCCATTTTTACCCTTAGGATTCTCCTTCCTTATTTCCCTGCTGCAACTGTGTTTGTCTCACATGGGGTGTTGATCCTTTTTGAATGTTCTCCAAGCATGAGCAGAGCCTTAAAAAAGTTACCAAAGTCTTGGGAATGAAAACAAGAAAAAGAACTGAGAGTAACATGAATCTGCCCGATGTGGCTTCTAAGGTATGGCTTCACCCAACCAACTCTGAGTGGCTCTTCTCCCCTAGAGTTCTCTCAGAGACTGAGGGCATAGTCTACAGGTTTCAGCAAAGTATTAACATATGAGAGCTAAGCCCTCCTTAGTCAGAGAGGGGCAGATATCCAGTAACAGAGAATGGTGTCACAATCGACACAGAGCCCTCATCCCTGGGGAGTGGGTTTCTAGTGCTGATCTCCCCAGTGGAAACTGCTCCTTCCTTCCCAGCACTCCCCACCCCTAGGACTCCATGAGGACCCCCCTCCTTTCTGCTCTTCTAGGACCCAGAGAGCCCAGCTCTGCCTCCCTTGGGGGCTGTCCCCCTCTCAGCTATAGGAGCCTGCCCCACACTAGGACATCCAAATACAGCTTTCACCACCGGTGAGTGAAGGTTCCTGCTGAGACCCTCAGGGTTGTTTTGCACCTACTGCGTGCAGCCGACTGGGGTCCATCAAGACACTCTCCAGATGGGACCAGGGCTGGAGAGGGCTCAGCAGGGACCAGTGGATTCAACCCAACTTAAGCCTCTTCTTCCCCAGGAAGTGCCCCACTCCTGGTTGCGATGGCTCTGGCCATGTCACAGGCAAGTTCACAGCTCACCATTGCCTCTCAGGCTGCCCGCTGGCTGAGAGGAACCAGAGCCGGCTGAAAGCAGAGCTGTCTGACTCAGAGGCCTCAGCTCGCAAGAAGAACCTCTCAGGCTTCTCCCCAAGGAAGAAGCCTCGCCATCATGGCCGGTATGGAGGCCAGGGAGTCAGGGCCCGGCCTTCCTGGGGGTGTGGGGCCTCGTAGCCTCTCGAACTGGGCCAGACACTGATTCCCTGCCATGGACCTGGTCCTTCCTTCTCCAGAATTGGACGCCCTCCGAAGTATCGAAAGATTCCGCAGGAAGATTTCCAGAGTAAGTCTGGCTTATCTGCTCCTATGTCCTCCACTTCAGAGTGTTCACAGTGAGTGCTCTGTCATTGGTGGGATGAGACAGATTTCCCAGAGTGGGAGAAGTTAGAAGGAGGGCTGTGCCTCTTCGTTTGAGATACTAAGAGCACAGAGCAGTGGCAAAAGCAATGGAGGGGCTTTGAGTGACCTTGGGTTCCAGTCTCATGTCCCCCATGGCCTTGCTGTGGGTCTGTGGGGAAGGTACAGAGCCTCTTGGGGCCTTTGGTTCTCACCGTGAAGCAGGATGATGCCCCTGCTCTTCTCTGATTCTAGGCTTCCTGGGAAGGAGACCATAGCTATCCCTTTCTACCTGCGTGACCTTAAGCAAGTCCCTTAACATCTTTGAGCTTCAGTTTCCTCACTTGAATAACTGGATAAAACCTGCTTTTCCGTTGTCAATACCTGAAATAACAGTAGTTACTAACTACCACTGCTCACTGAGCATCTACTATGGGCCAGGCAGTATGCCAGGTGCTTTACACATACTGTGTCTAACTCTCACACGAGTTCTCTAACATGTATATTGTTCTTCTGCAAGAGGAGGAATATGAGTCTCAGAGGATGAAGTCACTTGCCCAGGGTCATTCACCTTGTAAGGGGCAGAGTTGGCATTCCAACTTGGATCTGACCTGACTCCTCTTGCTGCGTGCTGCTGGTATAAGAGACATAAAGCACCTAACCCAAATGTCAGTTCACTTCTCACTCCCCTTGCATTAGCGTGCTTGCTGCCGTAACAAAATACCATTGACTGGGTAGCTTAAACAACAGAAATTTATTTTTCACAGTTCTGGAGGCCAGAAGTCCAAGATCAAGGTGTTGGCAGGCTTGATTTCTTGGCTTGCAGACGGTTGCCTTCTTGCTGTGCTCTCACGTGGTCTTTCTTCTGTGCACAAGCATTCCTGGTGTCTCGTGATGTGTCCAAGTGTCTCTTCTTGTAAGGATACCAATTGAATTGGATTAGGGCCCATCCTAATGACCTCATTTTAACTTAATCACTCTTTAAAGGCCCTTTCTCCAAATGCAGTCCCATTCTGAGGCACTGGGGGTTAGGGCTTCGGCACATGAATTTTGCGGGGACACATTTCAGCTCATAACATACTTCAAGGGGAGGAGCATAGTGACTGAACCCTCCCCTGGGTGGTGAATTCATCTTACATCTGCAGCCACTAGTGCAGGGCCTGTTGCACAGCAGGGCAGTTGAATGGAATGAATGTCGTTTTAAGGCTAAAAGAGACCTTGAGAATCACTTGGTTTAATGCACCTTTGGCAAGACCCAAGCTGTCCCAGTTCTTCAAGAACAGTCTCTGTAATCTGGGCAGTAAATAACATAGTGATAAAAAGCGTAGCCCTGAAGTCAGACTACCTTTTACAGGCTGAGAGATCTTGGGTGGGTGACACTGCCTCTCTGAGCCTCACCTTTCTCATCTGTAAAATGCTGATAATAATCGAACCCATCGTATGATGTGGTGAGAGGCTTAACTGAGATGCTCCATGTGAGGTGCTTAGCACAGCTCCCTGCCAGTATTATTATTCTGAGTCTCTTGCTCACTCCCTCTTGCTGTCATCTCATACTGTTTCCTTTTTTCGGGAACAGAGGCAGTTTCTTCAGTCTCACACCTGAGGGTCTTGGCCAGCGCCTAGACCCTCAGAGTAAGGACTCCTAAGGATCAAACTGCAGTGGGCACTTCTTGTACCCATCTGTGGCACCCATGGTCTGGTCCACTGCAGGACCAAGTTCTGACCACCAGAGGGCACTTGCCTACTGTGTTCACCCCGGAAGTAGGCTGTAGAATTTTTGGGAAGCTACATCTTTCCAAGACTGAGACTATGTCCCGGAGCTGGCAAAGAACGGCTCACCCAGAGCCTTGAGGCACTTCAAGGATAGAGCAGAGGCCATTTCCCAGATCTCACTTCTGCAGGGCACCCCTGCTTTTCTAGCTCTCCTCTCACCCGGAGGAGCCACTGGTCATTCATAGGCTCTGGAGTTTGCTGGTGAACACTTCCATAGGAAGGGCTGCCTGGAGAGGACAGGGCTTGGCTGGGCTTAGTCTTTAGGCCTGGAAGTGTCAACTGCTGAAGGAACCGAGGAGCCATGTCTGAGGAGACATGTCTGACCTGCAGCTGGATGGTCTGCAGTTAAATAAAACACTAACTGCTGGTGAGCGCTCCTGGCCTGTGCTCTTCCCTGTGCTCTGGGGAAGCAAGATAAGGAGAAAAGCTCCCTACAAACTTGGTGTTGTCTCCCAAACCCCACCCCAGGGTATGAAGGGGACCAGATACAGGGTTTCAAAGAGGGAGTACCTGGTGGACCAGAGGCCAAACCTGTGGCCAGGTAGATAAGGTGCTAGTGGTGGTAGCTGTCATGAGAGATACTGGGCGTGCCCCAGACGGGCCATGAGAGGAGCTGACTGAGCAGGGAGATGGGGCTGTCTGGGGTATGGGCAGGTATTAGGGTTTTGCTGATGAACAGAGAGAGCAGCAGGAAGGCAGTGGCACAGAAGTGTGGTTGGTAGGGCCGGGGATGGAATCCCCAAGGCTTTGTGGGTGGAAGAGCCAGGCTTAAAGGCAGACACTCAAGGAGAGAGGGCAGGACAATCTATGACCAACAGGGAGGGTCTTTGACAAGAGGGCACTTGGAGGTGCTGCACTAATGAGCATCTGGAATTAGCACCAGGAGAATAAAGAGCCAATGCCCCTGGACCATGGACAGAGGCTGGGAAAACCCCTTGGGAAAGTAGCCACATTGCACAAGGCCAGCCAAGGCTGGTAGCAGTGAGTGGGGCCAGGTTTGTCAAAGCAGCCAGAGGGGGATGAAGTCCAAGTTGGCAAGTGCCAGGCCCCACCAAGGAGGAGGCCAAGCTGAGCAGCATGAGTCATCAGCTCAGTACAGCTGCTTGAGGTAGGAGGTTGGGGCCGCTGATCCCAGAGGCAGACCAGGAAGAAAGCCGCAGGCAACATGGAGCTGAGGAGTGGGTCAGGGATCACCCTCTAGTGCTGGCGTAGGCAGTAGTGCAGACCAGGCTGGTGGAGGAGGCGGGGGAACTGGAGCTTGAGGCAATGGCAGTGGCCAGAGGGGTGGTCTTCAGCCTCCTCAGGGGGACTGTGATTCTGAAGCAGAATCACCCTAGCTCTGAGAAAGTTGGTCGTAGCCCAAAAGGACCCATGAGAAGAAGAGTAAACAGAGTGGACTTCTGACGTCAAGGCTGAGCTTGTTTGGATGTTAAGGACCCTTTTGATGCATGGCATCTAGAAAATTGTGTCTTTAGAGATGCTGCAGCAGCTCTAAGAGAGTATCCTTGCAGGGCCCAGGGTGGTGCAGCCTCAGAGAGATGGGGTGAGGGTCATTCCAAATAGCTGACCTGAGGGTCTTTGAGAGAGCCACTTTACCAGCAGGAGTGAACACTGCGTGAGGAGTCAGGAGATATGGCTCACCCTCTTGACTCTACAGGCTGTCAGAAGGGGCCCGGGGTCCTGTCTACTCTGCCAGCCAGTCTCCTGAGTGGTGTGGGTATGCATGGGCTTCGGGAACAGTTTAGCCCTCAGCGTCGGCCTGCCAGCCTCTGCCTCTGCTTTCCAGCACTCACGCCCGATGTTGTGCACCAGTCCCTCTTCATGTCAGCCCTGTCGGCCCACCCTGACCGCTCACTCTCAGTGTGCTGGGAGCAGCACTGCAAGCTCCTGCCAGGAGTAGCGGGCATCTCAGCCTCGACAGTCGCCAAGTGGACCATCGATGAGGTAAGGAGCGAGGGCCCTTCTTTATCCTTGTCTTCCCCTCCTCCTCCCTCTCACCATACCCTGGTGGAAAGGCCCAGGTCAGGTAGAACCTGGTACCACTCCTGGCACTACCTCGTGCTCACCTGTCGGCTGCCCAGTGAGACACTTCCTAATAGGCCCATCGTGGCAGAGGGGGCGGGGGCTGTGCTGCTATTTCCGCCAGAAATCCAACAGGAGAGGCAGACTTCAGTCCCAGGCCTCAGAAGCAAGGGGCCCAACTTGGCACATCTGCCAGCATAGAAACCCTAGGATCCTTTTAGGCTGGGGAGAAAAAGCAGCATTGGCATAGCTCAGAAGCACCTAGGCCATGGAGGCCAGCCCTCTTACATGCCCAAGCTCTGTCCCCTGGTCAACATGTCATCTTTGGTTTCCAAGGTCTTCGGCTTTGTTCAGACCCTGACAGGTTGTGAGGACCAAGCACGCCTCTTCAAAGACGAGGTAAGGTGCAAGTGCAGAGTGGGAGACAGAGCCGGGGTCACTGTGTCCTTAAGACAGCAGGAAGCAGGTGCCCTCACTGGCGCTGCCTCAGCTAGGGAGGGACCCGTGTTGCCCTACTGGGCAAGAATAGTCAGAGTGACCCATGTCTCTGGGAAGAATCTAGTCTGGACTGTGGCCCAACTTGGGGACCCTGTGTGCTCAGATCATCTTCAGGAAGGAAAAGGCATCCTGGAGACAGGAGTCCATTCACTCCTCTGCTCTCTACCCACTCATTTGCTTGCCAAACTTAGCGTCGCAAGTGGTAGTCAGTAAATTAAAGTGTACTTTTTTTAACCTTTAATCCAATATAGCTGATAATTAAAGTGTATTTTGAATGACACAGATACTGTGATTTACTGCAAGGATCCTAACACACACTTAAAATCAAGAGCCAAGGAGTAGTGAGTTGTAGATAAAAAAAGAATGTCAGCTTTGGAGACAGTCTGGGTTTAAATCCCAGTTCTGTCAATTTGAGCTGTTTACTGTCTCTGAGCCTGCATCTTCTTGTCTGTAAAATGGAGATAAAGTGGGTATAATGAGGTCTACCTTGCAGAGCCATTGTGAGCATTGGAAATGATGAATGAATCATACTAGAATGTCTAGTATAATTACAGTCATGCATTGCTTAACGATGGGGATACATTCTTAAAAATGTGACACTAGACAATTTTGTCATTGTGTAAACATTATAGAATGTACTTACACAAACGTAGATGTTATATGTATTTTTATTTATATGTATATTTTCACATGAAAAAACAAATGTCCCAGCATTATTACTGAATATCAGTCATTTCCCCTACTTGATCTGCAATGCCAATATCAAGGGCCATGTATCAGGTTTCTGTATATGTTCCATGACAGTCTTATGGGGCCATGGTTTTAAATGTGGAATCATTGACGGAAATGTCTTTATGTAGTATATGGCTGTGTATCACTAGTATATAATATAGCAATATCATGGAGGAACATTTAGATCCAATCACTTTACCTATACAAAATGACTGATATGGTGGGAACACAATAAACACCAGTTTTGACTTTTAGTACATAGTTGCCCTTAAGTAAAGAACTTTGTTGGCCGGGTGCAGTGGCTGATGCCTGTAATCCCAACAGTTTGGGAGGCCAAGTCGGGCAGATCACCTGAGGTCAGGAGTTCAAGACCAGCCTGGCTAACATGGTGAAACCCTGTCTCTACTAAAAATACAAAATTAACTGGGTGTGGTGGCCTGCACCGGTAGTCCCAGCTACTCGGGAGGCTGAGGCAGGAGAATCACTTGAACCTGGGAGGCGGAGGTTGCGGTGAGCCGAGATTGCACCACTGCACTCCAGCCTGGGCAACAGAACAAAATTCTGTCTCAAAAAACAAAAAAAGAAAGTAGTTGGCTCTTCTTGCCCTGGAAGAGTGTCTGTATCCAGGCCCAGCACAGCCAGTTTCCTCCTTTGAGCTGTGTGTGGTGGAGCTCCCAAACTCCTCCTGCTTCCAGGTGCTTTCCTTGCCCTCTGTGTTGGTGATCTTCTTCTCTTCATGTATGTGTGCAGAGCTGAACTCCCTGTTTTCGATGGCCTCTGGCCGGCATAGAACATGCTGGGGTGCTGCTCCCCTAGAGGTGTTTTAATTGAGATAAAATGCCTATAGAGAGAGAGGCACACATGTTAAAAGTACAATTTCACAGGTTTTACGACATGTCTGCCCTTGAACTCTTCAATCAATATATAGACATTTCCTCTCATATTAAGTCATACAAAAAAAACTTAGTGTAAAAAAAAAAGAAAAGAAAAAGATATAGACCTTTCCATCATACCAGAAAGTTCTTTCTCAGCCCCTTTTAGTCAGTCCATACCCCAAAAGACAACCACTTTTCTAATTTCTAGCATCATAGATGAGCTTTGCCTGTTCTTCAACTCATATAAATGGAATCATAGGGCGTGTTACCTTCTAGGTCTGTCTCTGCACAGTGTCATGTTTTTGAGGCTTCTCCATGTTGTTGTCTGTACCTGTAGTTTGTTTATTGCTGACTGGTGTTCCATTTTATGAGTATACCATAATTTCTTGTACATTAGGGTTATTTTCTCTTCCCCTAGATTTGAACTCTATTTTTTTTTTGTTAGCAAAACTTAAGTTTGCTCTAGCTTTATTATAGCCACATCACACTACTTTGGGGTTCATAAAAGCCCCCAGGTGCTTTTCATGTCAACTACAGTCGAACCAAATTTTCCAGTGAGTACTTGCACCACTGAGATTTTTTTTTTAATTAACCTAATGTAAAACTTTACATCCACCCTATTAAATGTTATCTGGTTGGTTTTAAAGCCCTGTTTTAAATTTTGCTTCTGTCATCTGTGATGTTAATAAGGCTTTCCAACCTCGTACAGCTTGCACATTTGATAACTAAGCCTTCTGTGTCTTTGTCCAAGTCTTAACGTGTTTTATGAGAAGGCAGAACCATGTGGCACCCTGTTTCAGACCTTTCTGTAGGTTGACCACAGGTCATAAGTCAGCACTCTTCAAGTGTAGTTGTTCAGCCAGCTACAGAGCCAGCCGAGTTTCATCCTCCAGCCTATGCTTGGCTTTGCATTCTCTTCATCTTGGGACAAGGGCTATGTCTCCCAGGAACATCTGCTGTGTCTCTTGGTTCAGCATGGTCTGTGATACAGAAAACTAGTGGCCAAAGGGAGAAGGTGTACTGGTAGACTGCCAGCATCAAATAGAGTCTTGGAGTGGAGCAGGACCTTTATGGGATGTGAGGATCGCCATCTCCAGTGTCTGGCCCATGTCATCAGTTTCCCCAGGTAGGACGATGCTCCAGGAATGGGCTCTCTCTGGCTTAACTGATGATTGGGTATTCAGGGACACCAATCAAGATGCTCTCCGTCTGGGACACAGACCAGCCAGTAGAGGGTTGCTTCATGAGTGAGGAATTAGAGCAAAGTGCATAGATGGTCTTATGGTTGTTCTTTACTGGTGGCTCTAAGAGTAGTCTGTCCAGTCCTCTCTTTGTCATCTTTATTGTAGCCATTTCATCAGCAAATAATTATTGATGTCTACTTTGTGCCTGGCCTTGTATAAGGTGATGTGATACTGAAGCAGATAAGAACAGGTCCCTGCTCTTAAGGTTCTCTGCGTGGTAGGGGATACAGAATTGTAAGTTGTTGCTCCTGGTAGAGTGTGGTAAGGGCCATGAAAGACACGTGTGCAGGTGTCCTGGAGCCCAGAGGAAGGGGAGGACAGAGAGGGGCCGATGGGCTCTGCTAACTGTGCAGCCAGATGGATACTGGCAGCTTCCTGCTTCCCAAATGTCCCATATTCTTGGGCTCCTGGTAGACCACACCTTTCTGCTGTGAAAGCATAGAAGTCCCAGTGGGGTTTTGAAAGTGCTGATTAAATCTTAGCTTGACCTGTGTTAAACATTCCATGTATGGCTCTCTCAAGATCTATCCTGATCATCTCAATTTTAGGAAATTCCCTGGACCTCTCCACAGCACTGCAGGCTGTTGCTTAGGGTAGATTATTGTATGACTTATTTTATCCATTTTCCTCTACCTTCAAGGTCAGAACATGACCCTTTTCCTGATCATATGGCTCAAAACTCCCCATACCCACCAGCACACAGACAACATCTTAGATTTTCTGAGGTCATTCCATTGTTCCCTTACCTAGTCTCAGACTGCCAGACCACAGACTCTGGCCTTTGCTTTGAAGAACCTGAAACCTGGGCCTTGGCAATTACCGTGGGTGAGAAATCTCAGGCAATACACAAGGAGCCATATACCAGTGGGTTCTCTGAATAAGAACTGAAATCCTGGCCGGGGCGGTGGTTCACTCCTGTAATCCCAGCAATTTGGGAGACCAAGGCGGGCAGATTATTTGAGGTCAGGAGTTTGAGACCAGCCTGGCCAACATGGTGAAACCCAGTCTGTATGACAAATACAAAAAAATTAGCCGAGCATGGTGGTGCATGCCTGTAGTCCAGCTACTCGGGAGGCTGAGGCATGAGAATCGCTTGAACCTGGAAGGCAGAGGTTGCAGTGAACTGAGATTGTGCCACTGCACTCCAGCCTAGGCACAGAGCAAGACTCTCTATCAAAAAAAAAAAAAGAAAGAAAAGAAATGAAATGAACTCCTGTAAGAGTACATACTTAACTCTGCCAGGGTTTCCTTTCCTTCATATCCTGAACTTCGAGGTCTCCCTGGCCAGGCTCTGTGATTCAGTGGGACCATCAAGAGGGAGCCCCAGAGGCCGGGCATGGTGGCTCACATCTGTAATCCCAGATGTCAGGAGTTCGAGACCAGCCTGGCCAACATGGTGAAACCCTGTCTATACGAAAAATACAGAAATTAGCTGGGTGTGGTGGCACATGCCTCTGGTCCCAGCTACTCAGGAGGCTGAGGCAGAAGAGTTGCTTGAACCTGGGAGGTGGAGGTTACAGTGAGCCAAGATCATGCCACCGTACTCCAGCCTGGGTGACAGAGCAAGCCCCAGAGCCAGACTGGCATGAGGTGTCTGAATCTGGATGTTTCTACACAGACACATCTGCTGGGGGTCAGCAAAGAGAGCTCCTCAAGTCCAAGGGAGCTGCCTCCTGGGATGACCACTTGGCATCCCCCTCATAGCTCCCAGTGTCTCAGGCAAGCAGTTTCTCCAGTGCTTCCCCATCGAGGAGGTGCTGGAGAGAGAATAGAATGGCAGACTCCTTGAGGAAGGGGGAAATGTGCTTATTCACCAGACCCTGATCTTAGACCTGGGAAGCCCCTTTTCACTTGAGGGGTCATTTTAGAGCATTAGAAAGGAAGCTTAATGCACATAATCTCATCCGTGCATTTGGCTACTAGACTTTCCATTTTCTTTTGAGGGGGAAGGTTTTTAGCCATCAGAAGTGCCAGTTTTCGGAGCCTCCTTGGTTAGTGAATTGGGAAGGACCAGGTAACTGTTTCCTCAGAGCTGCTGGGGGGACAGATATATGGGGTTCATTCCCCCACTCTGTCCTGCCTCCGTTTAACCTCTAAGATTGCCAGCCTCTGTGAGATACAGTTCTGTTGTCACCACACCTCGGAGATCCTTTCATTCATTCTTTCTGGATTTACTGAGCACCTGACTTATGTCAGGTAAGCAGCCCCGTGGTGCTCCTGGAAGGCAAATGAAGAAACACATACAATTCAGGGGAGTTTGTAGAACTGTGTGAAGTCTAGGCAGAGTGGAAGGAAAATTCAGGGGAGTTTGTAGAACTGTGTGAAGTCTAGGCAGAGTGAAAGGAAAATTCAGGGGAGTTTGTGGAACTGTGTGAACTCTAGGCAGAGCGGAAGGAGAATTCAGGGGAGTTTGTGGAACTGTGTGAACTCTAGGCAGAGCGGAAGGAGAATTCAGGGGAGTTTGTGGAACTGTGTGAACTCTAGGCAGAGCGGAAGGAGAATTCAGGGGAGTTTGTGGAACTGTGTGAACTCTAGGCTGAGCGGAAGGAGAATTCAGGGGAGTTTGTGGAACTGTGTGAACTCTAGGCAGAGCGGAAGGAGTGGACTGTTCTGACTGCTGGGAGAAGCATGCTGAGAGTCAGCAGGCCTTCCTGGCAGGGGTGGTAGAGGGAACAGAGGTGCAAGGCAGAAGACACCCAGTTATTGGGGAAGGGTCTGTAGTGCAGTCTGTGGAGCTAGGTGTGAGGAGGGCTCACGCAGAACTGTGGGGCAGGGCCAGGCTTGGGCGGCATCGCCTCCTGAGCTGCATGAGTCATGTCCATAGGGTACCCCTACCCAGCTCTCACAGTGGTTAAGAACACAGGTCAGCACTTATAAGCAAGGTATATCTTGGGCAAATTCTGTAGCCTGTCTGCCTTGGTTTCCTCATCTGTATAATCAGGATAATGGTATTGCTTCATAGGGTTATTGTGAGGATTAACTGAGTTAATACATGACAGGTGCTTAGGAGCAGTGCCTGGCACATAAGAAACAACACAGAAGTGTTTTCATTGCTATGATGCTTGAGGGGTGAGCATAGGAGGGATGGCATATCCTCAAAAACAGCGTCCCCCAGCTCAGTCTCTTGACCACCACAGTCTGCCTCCCAGCTCTCTTCATTCCATCCCCTCCTCCACAACTGACTTCACTCCTTGACTCTACCCACATACCTAGCTGCTAGAATCAACAATTACCAATATTTTCCATATTTGCTTCACCTATATTTGGATGAAGTAATTTTGAGTAAATTTTAGACATCATGATATTTCACCCCTGAGGACATAACTTTGCATCTCTAAAAACTAAGGACTTTCTTTACATAACCACAATCTTGTTATTCCACTACTAAATTGCAAGTAACTCCTTTATATCATCCGATACACAGTCTGCATTCATATTTCCCCAGTTCTTAGGATACTCTTTGCAGTTTTTGAGCCAGAATCCAAACAAGGCCCACATAATTGGTTTTGGTTTTTATGTCTCTTAAGTTTTTTCTGTTCTGGAAGAGCTCCTCCAGCCTTTGTTTTTCCTTTTTTAATGATGTTTTAAAAGTCTTTCAGAATGTGGTTTTTTGGATTTGTCTTGTTGCTTTCTTGTGGTGTCACTTAACTTGTTCCTCTATCCCCTGTATTTCCCAAGAAATGAAAGTTAGATCCAAAGGCTGGGTTAGACTTAGGTTAAATTTCTCACTGTCACTGTCCCTGTTTCTCTCTCTCTCTCCCCCTGCCCACCTCTGCTTTTGGCAAGACAAGCTCCTAGGTGATACTGTGTACTTCATACTGCCTCATGTCGGAATGCTCACAGTGTCTGCTTGTCTTGCTGTTAGCAACACTAAGGTTGACCGATGAGGTCAAGTGGGGACAACAACAGCAGGTTTCTCAAAGCCACTGTCTGTGAAGACTCAAAAGACATTTTGCAAATACATATGCTAAACCTTAGACCAGTCAGCAGAAAGAGAGAAAGAGAACAAGTGTGTGAAGACGGGGAAACCTGTGGCTGTCTTTCTTTCCTTCTCCGTCCCCATTGCTGTCTTCCTTTTTTCCTTTCTCCCTCCCTTCTCCTTTCTCCCAATCCTTTCTCTCCCCCTCTTTCCTCCTTCCCTGTCTTCCACATATCCTTTACTCCTCCTCCCCTCCCCTATTCCCCATGTGCACCCCTCCCTTTCCTTCACCCCTGCCCCGTGACCCTTTCCACCTTCTTCTCCACTTTCCACCTCCCTCCCCCAACCCCTCAGATGATTGACGGCGAGGCCTTCCTTTTGCTGACACAGGCGGACATTGTGAAGATCATGAGCGTCAAGCTGGGCCCAGCCTTGAAGATCTATAACGCCATTCTCATGTTCAAAAACGCCGATGACACCTTAAAGTGACTGGCCCAGGGCTGGGCCCTCCTGCGGCCCCTGCTTGGTCTCCCTCTCCAGCTGATGCTTTCTTCCTGACCTGAGTTCCTCATACCCCCACGTCCCCATGTTCCACCTGTATCTGACCAGGGCTAGTCCTTCTTAGAGGGTACATGGGAGCCGAGGAGCCCTGGGGAGGGTAGGCACCCAGCCCCAAGTCCTAGAGGTCATTCGCCACCAGGCATGTCAGTGAGGGTGTGATTGGCAGGGGCATTACTCATGGAGTCAGTGGGACTGTGGCAACCCCACAGCTCCAGTGGACTTTTATTTTATTACCAAAGGGTCTTTTTCTTAGCGGTTGAGGAGAGTCTAGTAGAGCAGCAGTCCTTCAATCTGAGGCCCCTTTCCCTTTTTTGGTATCTCTGTGTGCTTTTCTCTTCTTGGCTCCTTTCCTCCTGCCAAGAATGACCCTGCCACAAACGTATTTACTCCTGGAGGCACCTCCTCCCTTTCTGTCTGCTGGTTTTGCTGCCCTCATTCTGCTGCCTCGTTTCCTGGGCAGTGCCCCCAGCCAGACCCCACTGGCTCTTCCCCCTGAGATATGTGAACCTCAGAAACATGTTTTCATAAGATCCCTTGGAAGTCTCTAGCTGCCTTTCTCTCTTTTGCCCAGAATTGAGAGATTCTGAGCTAAGATGCCTTCCTGAACTTGCCCAGTTCTGGACCAGTTGACATTTTAGTATCCCATGCCAAGTCCAAGTTCCAGCAGAATGAGCAGGTGGCTAGAGCCTCTTTTATAGATGGCAGAGGTTGAGGTTCCACTGCTGTTTTCCACACACCCTTCATGTGTTGTGTCTGGAAAGGAGTAAGCCCAGCCTGGTCAGTAGCCTAGGTTAGGAGACCAGCATAAGAATTTGTTAGACAATCTCGGGTCTTTGGCCAGAGGGGCAGCTCCAGCAGGCATAGTGGTGCCTGAAATTAGGAATAGTGTCCTCTGCAGCCTTGGACCTCAGCCAAGGTATTGCCCATGGGGTGATGGCCCCAGGTCTGCCAGGCCTTCTGCCATGAAAATGTAGCACTCTGTGTAGCACACACCCCCATGATATCATTCAGCGTGTCCCTTAAATGTTTACCACTAGCTCTTGCAGAGTCTTGAAGTTGGGAGTTAGGAAGGTGAACTTTTCTATCTGAATTCTCCGGGTCCCTGAAGCCCTCCTTGCCGCTCTCCATTTGTCTTGCACTGCCAGCCAGGTCCCTGCTGGGGCTCTGGGACTTCCACTTCTCTGTCCACATAGGAACCCAGCTTCCACTGAGTCACTGCCAAACCTGCCTCCCAGCCTGGGTGGGAAGGGGGAGAGCCACTGGCAGGAGCCAGCCCCACATGGAGGCAAGGAGTCACTGCCAACCTCCCGTGCCCAGGTGCTGTTGTGGGCCTGCAGAGTGTGGGGCCGGTGCCTTCTCCCAGACCCCTTCTCTCAATCGTGTGATGCGTGTGTGTGTGCACGTGTATGTGTGCGTGTGTGGCACTCTCAGAAGTGTTTGACAGGGTGCAGATGTGAGGCTCAGTGTTGGGAAAATGCCAAGGGCTATTATTAAAATTTGAAGCTTTATTTTTACCTTAGAAGTGGAAAACCCAGAGCTCTGTCGATTTCCTACCACAACCCAGTAGGGGCCCCTCTCTCCCATGGGCTGGACAGCTTTTTGAGGAAGCCATTCAGCTCCCACAGTTGAGCTCCCACAGGGCTTCAGGTGTCCCTTCCCTTTCAACTGCTTAGAGGCAGCTTTGAGCACAGCCTTCCTGGAAGGAAGCTAGGCAAGCCCTGCCACACGGCAAAGGTTGGGTTTACAAGGGTGACATTGGTACCCCCTTGGCCAAGAGTAAAGTAGAACGAGTCTAAGCCCTGCTTTTATCTTGGTTTTCTGGGTGGTGGCAGAGCTCATCAGCTCCTTATCCTCAGTCGGCTTCTCTAAAAGACGAGAGGTGTTCACTGACTTTGTGCAGTGAGAAGGCAGCAAGTACTCATGGCTGGTGCTGTGGGACCTCACAGCTTCTAAGGAGAGGGGCTAGGAGGGCCTTTGCCCTCGGATCTGCGTAATGCTTGCCTGTGGTAAAGGCAAGATGGACCAAGGGCCTTGGAAAAAAGGGCTCCCAGGCCTCTGAACTTTGAGGCCTCAGCACTTTCTGCACTGTTGTCAAACTCTTTGGAAAGAAACCAAATCATTAAAAAGTAGAAAGAAATCTGCCTCTTGTCTGCCCCACTGCCCCTTTACCCCTACTCTGTCCCCAAATGATATTATTGCACCTTGACCTGGGAGTGCAGAGAGGGGAGGGAGTTGGCAGAGATTCCTGGTGCCCTCTGCCCTCTTAGCAACAGGTGCCACTTATATTTTGGCCCCTGGCAGCCTCGCCCAGCCCCTGATCAGCCCAGGCCTAGGGCAGTTAGGACCTTTCTGTTTATGTTCTCAAGCAGAGAGAATGATCTCAGAGTTTGCAAATGAAGCCTTTTTTGCACTTTCATTCACATGCACTTTGGTGGGGTTACATTTTTGTACTTGCCTTTTGTGTGTGCACATGTGTGTGTGTGTCTTTTAAGAGAATCTTCTGGCTTAAGCTAAGATGACTCTTGAGGGAGAAAAAGTTACAAACAAAATGTGGTGTGATTTGTCGGTGTATCAAAACAACATAAATAAACTTGAACAACTGAGATTCAGCCAGAGTCTGTTTCTATTTTCATGATAAAACATCCAGAGAACACAAAATGATTATCAGTAGTGGCATTACTGAAGAGACTAAAGTGTTCTCTTTGTTGTTAGTTAGGGGTACTTATAGTTTTTAAGGTAGCAAACAAAAGATAAGGATAAATGGGTATATCTGTCTACATTGAAAGTGTAAACAGTGGGAACTCCCAGAGATCAGTGTCTAAAAGGGCCTGATCCTTGATATTTGGTAAATGGTCAAGGGCAGAAAATTCAATGAAACCTCTAAATTTTAAAATAATAATATCAGGCTGGGCACAGTGGTTCACACTTATAATCCTAGCCACTTTAGGAGGCCAAGGAGGGAGGATCACTTGAGGCCAGGGGTTCAAGACCATCTGGGTAACGTAACTAGATCCTGTCTCTATAAAAAAAATAATTATTTTTAATGATGGCGTATGCCTGTAGTCCCGGCTACTTAGGAGGCTGAAGCGGGAGGATCACCTGAGCCCAGGAGTTCAAGGCTGCAGTGAGCTGTGATTGCACCGATGTGCTCTATCCTGGTGCTCAAATAAAAAATGAAAACATCAAACTTTCAGATGGGGAAATGTCAACCTGAACAGTTAGATTTTGTTACGCTTCCCAGAGACTACGAGCAGGTGGGAAAATGGCACCTTTCCACACCGTAACTGGGAAGCTACCTACCGAGACGGGTGCCATGATAGAGTGGTGGTCCCTGGCTTCAATGTGAACTGAACCCTCAGGGCACCCAGGAAGCACCTGGGGTTTGGGGGCTTTAGCTCTAACTTCCCTTTTCATGCTTCTCAAACCTCCTACCCCATTGTCTTGACAGATGTCCTCACCATCCATGTCACAGAGAAAGTGGAAGTCATCAGAAGAAACACCTTCAGCTTCCTGCCATCTCATCTGCATGTCTCCTCCCACCCACATTCATTCTGTTTCTTTCCTATTACAGTGGAAGACTTGATGCTTCCACTTATCAGAAGCTAATCTTCTACTAGCCATGGCTGCAATAAAAGGAAAAGAAAACAAAGCCCCTCTTAAGACAAGAAGGGGCTTTTGGACATTTAAAATGGGATTACGGAGATAAAAATTCAACACAAGGGTCAAAAGATAAAGTTGAGGACATTTCCCAGCAGGTAGAATAAAAAGAAAAAGGCCGGGCCTGGTGGCTCATGCCTGTAATCCCAGCACTTTGGGAGGCCAAGGTAGGCAGATCACGAGGTCAGGAGTCTGAGACCAGACCGACCAACATAGTGAAACCTTGTCTCTACCAAAGATACAAAAATTAGCCAGATGTGGTAGTATGCGTCTGTAATCCCGGCTACTCAGGAGGCTGAGGCAGAAGAATCGCTTGAACCCGAGAGGCAGAGGTTGCAGTGAACCGAGATCACACACCACCTGATAACTCCAGCCTGGCGCTGAACAGAAGCAACGAACT